TTCATTCGTCAGTGCCTCTCCTGCATCCCTGGTAGAGCTGTTTTACCTATGCTTGCTGAATGTCGAGGTTTTATTATACAGAACATTAGATAACCTTTTGGTTTTAACACTCAAGCATCACCATTCTCCCTCCTCCACCCATCAGCCCCTTTTCATCTACATATCCTTCGCGTCTCGTTAACAGCAGTATATAGTCGCACTCAAAAGTGAAGTCACAGGAAACGCTGATGTTCGTCAACTGTAAAAGTTTATGTGATGCATAACTTAGAGACGCTTTGGGCAACCTTATCATTTTCTCCTTGTCCTCTTAATTATTATTATTCATATTCTGGAGAAGCGCTAAACCCTTAGGGGTCCTAGAGCGCCTTGTAAATGGGTAGTGATCAGATTTCATAAATACAATTCAAAGGTAGCTTTAGTTCTGTGGATACTGAATCCCTCACCGGCATCAAAGTTGACCCTATCTTCAGTGGGTCAGTTTATTGTCTACATTCCACTCGTCATACTTCTTTATTGTACGATTTATATTCTGGACCAAGACTGCGAGCGTGTGGCTTTACCTTGAAATTATATCATGTAAGTGCAAGAGGGTTATTAACATAGCGGGTATTGTGTGTTTATTAATAAATATTTTTTAAGCGTATCTGTAAATAAGTGATGTTCTCTTAGCTTGTAGTTTTATTGAAATCCAGGAATAGTAATTGTAGATTATAAAAGTTAGTTATCATTAGCCTTCATTATTTTTTTTCCACACGTATTCTCAGACAGCTGAAACATTATGCAAGATTCGAGTGTTTGTTAAACTCCCATAGTATATTACCCATAGTATATTACAGTTGCAATTATATCAGCTTTCTTCGAAATGTAAAATGTTATATTTGACTGTGCTTGACACTATAGCAATTAGTGCTTTATTTGGCTATTATTGAAAGTTGGTCCTCCGTGGAACTCAGGTCGGTTGTTTTTCGCGCTTATTTTAGGTTAGGCTTGGTTTGATTTTTCCTCAGTATGAAATAATCTTATAATAATTTTATTAAAAAATAACTTTTAAAGAATTTGCACATGTATAATGTGTAATGCAGAACTCACTCAATATTGAACCATTTAAATTATTTTCATCACCAGTGAGCAACACAGTTATTACCCAGTATTTTTTTTTTTTGTAGTTTTTATTAATTGATCAATTGGCAGATTTTTCACACATCCTAAGATAGTATAATCAGCTCTAGTCAGGTAAAATTTATTTTGTAATATGGCTAAAACATTGAAGGACATTGTGGATAAATTCCAGGTCAGCAGCTTGTTGCGTGAGTGTTAACATTCTACACTATGCTGGAATGTAGTCTGCATACTGTTAAGTAAATAAATGTGTTTATTTTTTTTAAGTTGCTGTAACTAGGATAAGGAGATTTAAATTTTCTGTGATTTAATGTTGCTGAAAATGCAATAAAGAAGCACTAGATTTCTGCGTTCTCAGGTTCCTGAAAATATGATAAGGAAATTCTAGAACTTTTGGATCACGTGAATATCAGGCCCCTGTCCCTCTATTTCTTCGCTTTCCCCAATGAAAAAGTTTTGGTTCAAAATTTGCACAAAAACCAGCATAGCAACCTAACCAAACGGTGCCAAAATTTACAACCTACCATAAGAATGTGTGTAGCTAAATTTCAGTGTTTCCGTTGGGGCGGGGGGAAAGGAGGGGTGGGGGTGTGGGTTGCAACAAGGTTTTTTGTAAGACAAAGAATTCACGAAATTTGAAACGGGGCATTTAGTAGAGGGGTTAAGTTTTAATGTGGCGTTAATCTCCTCCGTGAGTGGCATTAATTACATTCTTGGGTAAACAAACTTGCATCTTGCCTGTGATGGTGAGTCAACGGCCTCAGAGAACTATGCAGGATAGTCATGGATAAAAATCAGACAGCATTGTAACAACACAACAAGAGGGGGAATACAATTTTTTTTTTTCCGACACGTCTCTCAGGTCCAGCACTCGTTGGTTCCACCCCCCCCCCCCCACACACACACCAAAAAAGTAAACAGCATCACACAAAGGCAAGAGGCGAGGTCCACCGTGTACAACTCTCTCATCCAGGGGACGAATCCAACCTGAAAGGTACCCACCACGGCAGCACTCCTCCGCGGCGCGCGCGCGAGTGTGTACTCAACTATTTGTGGTTGCAGGGGTCGATTCATAGCTCCTGTCACCTGCCTCTTCGTGTGTGTGAATGAGTGAATATGTGCATATTCACCTGTTAGTTTGCAGCGGTCGAATCACAGCTCCTGGATCAGAATCTTAAGTAATTATAAGGTTTTAGGAAAAATAAAAGCACTAATGATGCAATCATAAAAATGCTAGATCTGCTTTACACAGCATTGGAAAATAAGGAATATCCACTAGGAATTTTTATTGACCTAAGAAAAGCTTTTGACACAGTAGACCACGACATCCTACTCCACAAACTTGACCATTACGGTATAAGAGACCATGCGCTTGCTTATTTCAAATCTTACCTTACTAATAGGTATCAGTATGTTACCATTAAAGACACAGCATCAACAACACGGCCACTTGATACTGGAGTTCCGCAGGGAAGTGTCCTTGGTCCCCTGCTCTTCCTCATATACATCAATGATCTTCCAAACGTATCCCAACACCTGAAACCCATTCTCTTTGCTGACGACACGACTTATGTCATCTCTCACCCTAATCTTGCCACCCTCAACACCATTGTTAACGAGGAGCTGATCAAAATATCGACTTGGATGACAGCCAATAAACTTACGCTTAACACTGACAAAACCTACTTATATTATGTTTGGTAGCAGAGCAGGAGATGTACAAATTAACATTAAGATCGACAACACTCTAATTACCAGACATAATGAGGGCAAATTCCTAGGCCTATACCTTGACAACAACCTGAATTTCAGCACCCATATCCAACACATAACCAAAAAAGTATCCAAAACAGTTGGGATCCTCTCCAAGATACGATACTACGTGCCGCAAAATGCCCTTCTCACACTATACCACTCACTTATTTATCCATACCTCACCTATGCTATTTGTGCTTGGGGATCAACTGCAGCAACACACCTAAAGCCAATAATAACCCAACAAAAAGCTGCAGTAAGAATAATCACTAAATCCCATCCCTGGCAACACCCCCCCCCCCCCCACTCTTCATAGATCTTAAACTTACTCCCTGTTCAGTACATCCACACTTACTACTGTGCAATCTACATCTACAGGACCTTAAACTCCAATATCAACCTTGACCTAAAACGCTTTCTTGATAGTTGTGACAGAACCCACAGGCATAACACCAGACACAAACATCTCGACGACATTCCCCGTGTCCGACTAAACCTTTACAAAAATTCAATGTATGTCAAAGGCCCTAAAATCTGGAACACCCTACCTGAGAACTCTAGAACTGCAGACACATTCATCACCTTCAAAACTACCATTAGAAAACATCTTATCTCCCTGATACACCCCATCAACTAACTACACGTGTGTGTACACGAATACCACCTGGTGGTTCACACTTACACTCACTCACCCATTTGACCATAAACAAAAATATTAATCTCAATCTTAAAATAATGAATCCTATGATACTCCAATATTGAAACTATGTACTGTGCCAAAACAAAAGCATTCACATTGCTAAACTCACAAACTAGTATTTAGTCACTTAGCCATAATACCAACTTACCTCATAATTTGTAATATTTTAAAATAAAGAATTAAACTAAGTCTGCCCGAAATGCCTAGCCATGCTAGGCGTTCTAGTGGTACACTCTGTAATCATTATTTAACTACATGTAAACCACACAACAACCAAATTCTGTAAATTCAACATTGCAATCTTTATAGAGAATAAACTTGAATTTGAATTTGAATTCTTGATCACAAGGACTCAATCGTATCTACTTTTTTAAACTACGTAATGTGTTTGTTGTCTCCGACTTTGTGGCTTGTGCGTTACATTTACTGCTGTGAGTCTGGTGAAGAATGAAAAGAGTACTTCCTAACGTCAGTGCTTCTTATCTGCGTCTTTAACTGCCATCAGTATTAAAAACTCGGGCTCCCTCTCCCCGCGTCTGGAACAGCCTGCCCTTATGAACCCCATCTAATCCTTTTAGTAGTTTGTTAGTAATGATCATATCCCGGTCCCCCTCTTTTCTGATGTTTTCAGGTTGTTACTTAAGAGTATTTCCTTGTGATTCATTTCCATCAGTACTGGTACCAGTCTCGCCGTGAAAATTTGGATCTTTAGTTTATGTACATGATCAAGTGCGGATTCCATGCTAGTGCCGCTTACTCCAAAATGGATCTACGTATATTGTGTACAATTCTTAGTCTTGCATATGTTGCTGAAGTTGTGTGCTTGTTATCTATTGCGTCAGAGCCCACTTGGTAATATTCCGTGTCCGGTCTTCTCACTCACTTTTAATTTTCAGTATGTTTGTTAGGATTTAATTCAAATAGCTCTCTTCCTGATTACTTGCAGCCCATATTACTTAACTTGGATCTCCTCTTTGTCCTCTCTGGTTGTCATCATTATCATTAGTTTCATATCGTAAGCAAATAGTGATACATAGAATTCAGATTTCTGCGTGCGTATGAGTGAGGAGTGTTTGAGTGTGTGTGACGGGGTGGGAGCGAGTGTGCGTGCTTGCCATAAACGCATTTTTATCTCCCATTAAGGGTATTAAACCTAAAAATCCCCAGCATCCGATCGCCTACATAAATAGTCATTGTTGTCTTGCAACAAGGCCGGCCACTCACACAGAGAGCCTCTCATCCTTTGCAACACCCACGCCTTGCTGCCACCTACGTGTTCCTCTGAGCAGTGATGGAGTTGCTTCATTCCACCAAGTGTCACTCTTTGGAGTAGACGGGTAAACAGTGCTTCCGTCACTTCTCATTGAATTTATAACTGCCTAACACGTTTTGTGCCGCCATTCAGATATCAGTTGTTTTATACGTAAAAAATTTAATCACCATCAGCATTTTTTGTTTTTGAAAATCAGTGTCAGGTTAAAATATCTATTGAAAATTGGAATTCACATTAGCATAAGTTATATAATTAGAAGACTGAAGTATACCACATAGAAGGTAAGCTTGTTTTTACTCCAGTGTGATACAGTTAGCAGCCAACAAACCCGACAACAAGCACAACCACCGACCAACGCACCTAACCACAACCTCCGACCATCACCCAGCAACAACCAACACAGACCAACACCCAACAGCAAACCACCACCACAGACCAACACCCAACAACAAACACCCAGCAGCAACCACCACCACTACTTTTCATCCACCACCACGGACCAACACCCAGCAACAACCACCACCACTCTAACAACAACAACAACAAAACCACAGACCAACACCCAACAGCAACCACGGACCAACACCCAACAACAACCACCACCACTCTAACAACAACAACAACAACAACCACAGACCAACACCCAACAGCAACCACGGACCAACACCCAACAGCAACCACTACCACTACCTAACAACAACCACCACGGACCAACGCCCAACAACAACAACCACCGACCAACACCCACCCACACCACCAACCAACACCCAACCACCACTACCAACCAACACCACCGACCAACACCACCGACCAACACTCTCAACACAACACACACATACTGCTACAAAGAGACAGTAATCTGGTGTGATACTAGTTGATAAGTCATTGGCACTGTCAGCTCCATCTTTGGCTGTTGCATAATCCAGGAATTATTCCATTTGTAAACTGCCATTATCTGATTGTCGTAGAGTCTCTGATAGCTGTCAAGGCTTTTTTCTTCACCTCTCTCTCCTTTTCTCTGGTTTCTCTTATTTCTTGCCCTTATTTCAAGCCCATGATGATCCTTTTCAAATCACTTGTTCTCTCTAGGCTGGAATACTGCTGTACATTAACATCTCCATTCAAAGCAGGTGAAATCGCAGATCTAGAGAGTGTACAGAGATCCTTTACTGCACGTATAAGTTCTGTCAAGCACCTTAACTACTGGGAACGCTTGGAAGCACTTGACTTGTACTCGTTGGAACGCAGGAGGGAGAGATATATCATAATCTACACTTGGAAAATCTTGGAAGGAATGGTCCCAAATCTGCACACAGAAATCACTCCCTACGAAAGTAAAAGACTGGGCAGGCGATGCAAAATGCCCCCAATAAAAAGTAGGGGCGCCATTGGTACACTAAGGGAAAACACCATAAGTGTCCGGGGCCCAAAACTGTTTCAACAGCCTCCCATCAAGCATTAGGGGAATTGCCAATAAACCCCTGGCTGCCTTCAAGAGAGAGCTGGACAGATACCTAAAGTCAGTGCCGGATCAGCCGGGCTGTGGCTCGTACGTTGGACTGCGTGCGGCCAGCAGTAACAGCCTAGTTGATCAGGCCCTGATCCATCGGGAGGCCTGGTCATGGACCGGGCCGCGGGGGCGTTGATCCCCGGAATAACCTCCAGGTAACCTCCCTTTCCCTCCTCTCGATGTCTCCCTTCCCTCTTTCTCTTTCTCCTCTCTTCTGCCTTTTAATTTTTTTTTGTAATTCTAAAAAAAAAATCGAATCTCTTATTCTGTCTCTTCCCTCACTGACTTGTCTGGAGTCAGCGTATATTAGTGAGTGTTGTTTAGTACAAGTCGAGTTTGTTTCATGATACTCAGGCTGGTTGATGAGTTTCCAGTCATCCTACTCCCGGAGCCCGGCCCACAGTCAGGTTGATCTGGCTAGTGCAATATTGAGTTTACAGTGTTTTCCCAGAGATGCAGCGCAGTTTTGAAATGTCAAGACGCTTTTGCAAATGAATTTGCGTTTTTTCCTGTGTGTAAATATTCTTTTCTTATAATATTTATATTTTTGTTGCCTCGCGCTGTGATGATGGGGTGCCCTTTTAAAAATTCCATGTCTCTTGTGCATGGGATAAGCCACCTCAGCTGCGAGATGGTGCTGTAATTTCTGTATAATAGTAACTAGCTGGAATGGTATGTAAATACCGACAAGGTAGAGATGCAGTAAATACCTTAGCGACAACCTTTTACCCATACAGTGGGATTTATTTAGCACAGGGTGTTGGTGAAACGTCAGTAATGTAAGTATCCATTGCATCTAAGGATCATTTGCTAAAGTGGTTAATCCATCTCTGCTGGAACAAGCCATTTGCAACTCCATTACCTGCTAAACCCTTAATGGAATGGTTGACGATTTCCTCATTGCCCTGGTGAAGTCCCGCTGCGAGAGACCCACCCAGAGCCACCTGCTTGGTGCTTCTCACTTTGTTTGCTCTTGCTTTATAATTACCGGATTACCTTGTAGGGACCTAGGAAAAAATTTAGGAAGGCAGGTTATTTGTGTGATGGTATTTGTCTTTTTTTCTAGTGTGCTTTGTTTTAATGCTTAGTTTTTAATTTTGAGGGTTTTAGTTTTAATGTATATGCTATTTTCTTAACCTCATACGTTCAAGTTCTCTTCGGTTTTCATACTTCGTTTCTGTATCTACTTTTATCTCTCGCCATCGCCCTCTTCGTTACCATCTCTTGCCCTTCATCGCTTTTTTTTTATCTCTGTCCTCTTCTTCACTATCGTGTGTGGTTGTGTGAGGTGCTGTTGGATGAGTGTGTCTGCGTGAAGGCTGCGTGAAGGCTGTATGGAAATGAAAGGTTGTAGTGTGACTTTTCTCACCATATTTTAACGCTCTTGTGAACCTCGTCGTCTTTTCTTACTCTTGCGTGTTGCTCTGCCTCGTTCGTTTCAGCCAGGCAACACACTGTCTTGCCAGTGTGAAGTAAAATGGGAGCCTTTTAAATATTTTGCACTTTGACAGGATTGCTGGTTTTTCTGTCTCGTGAACATGTATTGTGGCAGGTAAATCTCACAAACTTCTATTTACATTCAGTATCTACGTGCCTTTATTTATCTTTATATTACTAATAGTTCATAATCCTGTAATATTTTCTGTTCAATTTATGAGGCTTGGAATGAGACTGGGCCGCAGGAACGATGATCCCCAAATTCCTGACATTAAAAACAGCCTGATTGATCAGGCTGTTAGGGGGTTGAGAATCCCGGGGTTTAATGACAGTTCACATCACTTTCAAGATTGCTTTGTGCGTGTTTGCTTGTGTGCGTGCGCTCCTGACCTTGACATAATGTTTCCCACATTGATGGTAGGGCGGTGTGGTGGTGCATAGAGAAATCCCATAGCCGTCCATCACCTATCCAACGGCAGTAACGTGAAACTCAATCGCATTATAAATTTTTGTTGTTATTTGAGAGTGGTAAGTGATTGCTTCCCTTGTGTTAAGGAAGTGGGAAGACTGGCGAGGGTTCTGGAGGTTGATTCCAACCTAGGAAAAATGAAAAATGTAACGGAAATAAGAGTTGAGTAAATGTATTATAAAAAGATATTAAAATTTTTGTTTGAAGCTGTGATTATTTTTGTGTGCTTGCCTAGCTGTTGACAGAGGTCGCTGCACAGCTCTTGGCGCCATTCAAATTAGGTTGATACGGACTTAATATAATTCAGACTTGGCCTTCGTTGCTATGTCATTCTCAGTGTGTCGCTAACCCCCTCTCATTAGAACACTAGCATAATCATTTCTGGCTAATCTATGTATTTCTCTTCTCACGTCTGTCCATTTTCTCTAGTGTTTCCACTCTCTTGCGCTTCTCTGTTCTGCCTCTGCTTCTGAACCAAGGGCTCCTTTTATTTTTGCTGCTGTTCTTTCCGAGTGTGAAGTTCCTTCTGCCGCCCGAAGTTTTCCAACTAGGTACCTAGCTTCAACATCGCATCTACTGTACTGTATGTGATGTGAATCGTTTAGAAAAGCCAACGAGTTGAAAAATGAGACACTTGTGCAACAATTGGTAATCTTTATTGAGGAAACGTTTCGCCAGCCAGTGTTTTTTTTTAGTTCAATACAGAGAAAAACGGTGGAAGATGAGAAGAATGAGGTAATCAGTCCCTCACTTTGGAGTCGATATGTTCATTCCAGACTGAACACTTCAACTCCAGGCTGAGGGACTGATTACCTCATTCTCCTCCTCATCTTCAACTGTACTGTATGGTCGCTAGCGCTAAGGTGGCTTTTACACTCTAATACACGTTTTGTATCCGTGACAATACTGACAGTTTCCCTAGCCGCCTCTGTCAACTTTAGCCGTCTATATTTCCAGTCCCCCATGTAGGTCCCAGTTCTCCCAATCCTTTTCATTGTGGATGAAATCATCGATACTTAGTTTTTCCTATGCGCGCTCGTAGCTGTTGCTGCTCTGGTGTCAACCATTGCTGTTAGATGGTGTTGCGTGCGTGTGTACACGCTCTTATGTGTTTGTGCTTGTCTTTTCGTGTACATGAGAGATATGTACCCAGATGCAGTAGATAGATATTGGTGTTATAGTATTACTATGTAAAAATCAAGTGATATTAACTACATATTTCCTCACATCTTCCATATTATTAAGAAAGCATACCAATGTCGTGTATACGACCCTGCAATATCTGTGCTGCTATCCCACTCCAGTTGTTCTCTCACTTGTTCTCTTTCCATGTTCTCCCACTCCTGGGGCCATCGCGAAAAATGGTAATTTCTTTATAGTAATAATTCCAACTCTGCTGGAATGAAACCTTTATATCTTAGCTGCTGAATCAACAATTATCAATCCAGACTGAACACTTCAACTCCAGGCTGAGGGACTGATTACCTCATTCTCCTCCTCATCTTCAACTGTACTGTATGGTCGCTTTTTCTAAGGTGGCTTTTACACTCTAATACACGTTTTGTATCCGTGACAATACTGACAGTTTCCCTAGCCGCCTCTGTCAACTTTAGCCGTCTAGGCTGATAAATTTCATTACCTCACGTATGCAATCCATCTTGAGTAATAGAATATAAAAGGGAAACGTAGTTGGCTTTTCTTCCCACCACGTGTCAGTATACAGTAGGGTAGCCGCATATTGCGAGTGCTACCACAATGTAAATAAATATCGTACAGAAATAGATATTCGCACACAGCGGTTGTGTACAAGCTTGTTCAGTTAAAAAAAAAAAAAAACTTCCTCAGGAGCAGATGTTCAGGGGTGT